AAAACCAGAGTCGCTGAGCGAGGGGTGGGGCAAAGGCCGCGTGGAGCCAGCCTGGCCCCTTAGGGGCCGGGCCAGAGGACAAGGCGAGTACGGAGGGCGAGTGGGGGCAGAGAGAGAAGAGGTCCTGGAAAACCTGGGGAGCGTTTCAGGGCTGGGGACTGACGGATAAGACCCGGGCCACTCACGGCAGAGGAGCCGAAAGCAGGGTATGTGGCGTGGGGCAGGGGCGTCTAGAACAGGCTGCAGGGAGTGGAAAGCTTGGCATGTCGGGTGCTCAGAGGACATAGCCAGGAGTATCCCCTGGCACACGGTTGCTTGGCATGGAGGCGTGGCTGGGACTTAGAGGGTGAGGCACAGGGGTAGAAGCAATTTCAGGGGCGGCTCACAGAAGAAGGGGCTCAATGTAGAGGCAGGTCCAGGAGGACTGAGGAAGAGCTGGAAAACAGAGAAGGCATGGGGGCACAGGAGAGGCTGGATCCCAAGGCGCAGAAGACAGGGGCTGGGCTATGAAGTTAGAGGAAGGGTGAGGCCTGTGCCTAAGGGGTCCCCATCTGTTCTCAGAGAACGGAGGGGGGGGGCAGATGGCCTGGAACAACAGAGTTGACTAGTTTGGGTACCAGCTGGAAAGTCTCCCAGTGCAAGTAAGGGGCCGGAATACAGGGGGCAAGACCAGAGGACAGGGGTGAGATGGGCACAGGGCAATGTACCAGGGCACAGGAACTGGAACCAATGGTATAGGACCAGCTTGGGCCCAGGAAATGAGACAGGCCCTGACTCCAGCTGCAGTTACTGGGAAGACAGGTCAGGATTGCAGAGGGTGAGACCTGGCTGCAATTCGGGCCGGCCTCTGATTTTTGTTTTTGAATCAGAGTCTTACTCTGAAATGCAGTGGCACACTCACGGCCACCTTAGCCTCAACCTTTTGGGCTCATGTGATCCTTCTGCCTTAGCCTTCCAAGTAGCTGGAACCACAGGCCTGTGCCACCACGCCCGGCTACTTTTTTTTTTTTTATTGTAGAGACGAGGTTTTGCCAAGTTGCTCAGGCTCAGACAATCCTCTTGCCTCCGCCTCCCAAAGTTCTGGGATTTCAGGCGTGAGCCACCGCGCCCAGCTCGGGCTGACCTCTGAGAGGGGCCTCCTTAAATGTTGCGGCCTATGCCTTACCCTAGTTTCACCCAGGCCCAGGCCGAGTAAAGAGGCACGGCCACATGCAGTGGGCCCGGGGACCGGGTGGGACGGACAATGGCGCTCACAGCTTTCTCGCCCCCAGGGGAGAAGCCATATGCCTGCACGTGGGACGGCTGCGGCTGGAGGTTCGCACGCTCGGACGAGCTGACCCGCCACTACCGGAAGCACACGGGACAACGCCCCTTCCGCTGCCAGCTCTGCCCACGCGCCTTTTCGCGCTCTGACCACCTGGCCTTGCACATGAAGCGCCATCTTTGAGCTCCGCCCTGGCACGTGGACGCTCCTAGGGGCTGGGGATGAAACAGTGGATCCACCCAAGGTGGTTTTCCCAAGGACAGACCCTCGCCGGACTCGCGGCCCCTCAGATCCACCGAAAAAGCAAGGACAGACCTGTGGGAGCCTCCAGCTGCAGCTCCCACGTGTCGTCAGCCACAGGGAGCCACACAGAGACGTCCAACAGCCACGCATCCCAGCAAGACAGACCACCAAATAAGCGGACTCTCATGGACACTCAGACCAGCTCACAACAGCCCTGGACAGTGGGTGGGGGTGTGGGGTGAGGCTTCCTGGAGACCCCAGATGGAGAATGGGACTTCACACCGCGACTCCTCCTGGAGCCCCGCATGGTGGCTGGCAGCAGCTGTGAATGGTTATGGGTCCTATAAAAACGCCCCTCCCAGATAAAGCTTCAGCATTGACCTGAGCCTGTGGGTTTTGAGGGTTGGAAGATGGGAGGAGCCTGTACCCCCAGAGGTGATACTGGGGGGCCATACACACCCTCATCTCTTAATCCTCAGTGATACTGGGCGCGGTAGTTCACGCCTGTAATCCCAGCAGTTTGGGAGGCAAAGGTGAGAGGATTGTCTGAGTCCAGGGATTCGAGACCAGCCTGGGCAACTTGGTGAGACCTGGTCTCTACAATAAATCAAAAAATTAGCTGGCATGGTGGTACACACCTGTAGTTCCAGCTACTTGGGAGGTTGAGGCAGAAGGATCACCTGAGCCCAGCAGATGGAGGCTGCGGTACCTGTGAGTGTGCCACTGCACTGCAACCTGGGTGACAACTCGAGACCTCCGTGACACCTTCAGCTCTGACAACCCCCTCAGGCACTGCAGGGTTTACAGCCCCCTTCCCCCAGCAAGATCAAGCTACACTGCCCTTTTTCTCTCCCCCTCCCCACCCCCGTGAACCCCAGAGACATTCACAACCATCTCCCTCCATTTAAGAGCCTCCAACCGGGCCTCAGAGCCCATCACCCTTCGCCCTGCCTTAATCCAAAGAGACCCCTTATTAAGCTCAGGGGGTCCCCGGAAAAGGAACAAAAGGAAAACGGGGAAGAACCAGAGCACAAGCATCCCTTTTAAGAAAGCAAAGGAAGCCGGGCTCGGTGGCTCAGCCTGTAATCCCGCGCCTTTGAGGGGCTGAGGTGAGTGGATTGCCTGAGCCCATGAGTTCGAGACCCGCCTGGGCAATGAGACCTCATCTCTACAATAAATCAAAAAATCAGCCAGGTGTGGTAGCGCATGCCTGTAGTTCCAGCTACTCGGAAGGCTGAGGCGGAAGGATCGCCGGAGCCCAGCAGCGAGGCTGCGGTGGCCGGGAGCGGCCACTGCCCTCCAGTCTGGGCGACCGAGTGAGACTCCAACTC